CCCCAAAACCCCCAAAACCCCAAAACCCCAAAACCCCTTTTAGTAATAAAATCATTGAAAAATAAATAAAATGGAAAGTATCAAATACAGAATCACTGATTTGTAAGTCAAGTCTAAGAATATTACATAGGCCGATCAAGAAGAAGCGATCTAAAAAGCGCAAAGTAATCCTAAACTACTAAATTTTGGATCAAAATTTACCCTGCAATAGCAATTATTTATCAAATATTCTAGGTTCCAGCATGGATAAGAAATTCGAAGTATAAATAAGCACACTAATGTGAGCTACCCTTTAATCCCAAGAATATTACCTAAATGTCAATCTCCCAATTCGAGATACGTAAATAGTTCTGACAAATTATAGGTGAATGTTGCTTACCGGAAAGTAGAATCTAAAGCCAGAATTAAAGGTCTCATTGGCAGGAAAATGATACAGTCTCATAGTCAAACAAGAACTAAAATCGATTGCACAAAAGAAGATGAGAACAAATAGCAGAAGACTCTTCTCAAAGCATCCTTTAAAAACGAAGCTTCCTGATTCTCCAATTCTTGACCTCGCTAGCAGCATAAGCCTAAAAACTTTAAAATAACTTCCCAACCCCCATATCACCAAAACCCAAAGAAAATAGCAAAATCCAAAACCCTTCAATCCCTCTAAAGAAAGATAAAAATGGCCAAAAAGACCCTCTAGGACCCCAAAAAGCTCTAAAAGAAGCCCCATTGCTATCTCCCTCTCAAAACCCATTCTCCATCTTCTATCGTACTTTAAACCCTTCTAATCCTCTACTAAACCCCTTCTGCAGTCATTTTGAAGCCCAAAACAGCCCTAAAATCCCCCAATTTCCCAGCCAGAAACTTATTCAGCTCCCTTCAAAATCCTTATATGAAGCCAAAAAGACAGAATATAGCTCAACGATTACTCCTTTTCCCTTTACAACTATGTCTTTCCATACCTGAAAGAGCTCTAAGAGGTAAGATATTGGGGGTTTGGAGGGAAATGAGGGCTGACATGCGGCCAGAGCATGGTCTGAAGAGTTTAGAGGTGTGCTTGGTGAACTTTATAGCATTTTTAGAGAGTTATTTAGTGGTCTTCCGGGTGTAATCTTAACCTACAGTTCTCGAAAACCCTCCAAAAGCTATCGATATAAATACACCCAAAGATCCGTTCGTACCGGAGATCTAATCTCTGCTCCCTCAACCCATATGGTTCCAAGTATGCCCTCTCTCACATTTCTAGGCCGAAAACCCTTCTACTCCAAAGTACCATCCCTCTGACCCTCTAGACTAATTCACCCACTCTAAAACACCACCAGCTATACAGAAATATTTAAAACCGCTCTATACTCCACTCCTTAACAGGGGTTTTGGGGTTTTGGGGTTTTGGGG